TGAAAGAGTGGGAGTTGAGCAGTCAAAAAGGAAAAAGTGATAGTTGAGAGGCGAGATAAATAAAGTCATAGCAAGTTCAAATGACAAAATGGAAAAAATAAGAACTAGGGAGGTGGAAAACATGATCACGAGGATGGGAGAATTGTCAAAGGGACTATATAGTTTGGGAGAAAACGAAAAAACTAAAAATGAAGTTTTGATGTGGACGACTAATTTATTTCCACATTACAAAACGACTCAATCCAAAGATTTTCTTTTACTTATGGTTTTGGTTTTGAATCTTTATAGTTTATTTAAAAAATTCAAAAAAAATTACATATAAATAAATGAGATATTTTCAAACCATATTTTCAACCCTAACCTTACCGGTTTATTTATCGTATTGGTCGTGTTACCCAAAATGGTTTTATTTTTCGTCAAGTTCGTATTGTATTAGTTTTTGGCACTTATATTTATTTGAACACCTCATTAAAATTACCTATATACCCCATTCTCCCCCAAATACTCCCCTCGTTCACTTTTTCAATTATTCCACATTCGTTCTTCACACTCCCTTCACAACGTTCATCAGCTGTGACCCTCTTCGATCTCCATCTAGACATCCGATCTCCGGCGCCGGCTACTGCTCTTTCTCCGATCCGGTCAGTGGCGAAGCTTGAACAATTAACTAGGGGGGGCGAAAGTATTATAAATTGAAATTAACGTTTTCAAAAAAAAATTGTTTTTAACAAATAAACACCCAAAACACCTAGAAAAAGAATTACAACTCAGCCCGACGACTTTTAATGTCTTTAAATTCATCAATTACAGACTTTGAATCAATGTTTTCAGCAATTTCTCTTTCTATGTAAATCACCAAGTTGTTTGCGAGAAAATCATCCGACATCTTATTGCGAAGACGATTCTTGAATATTTTCATTGCTGAAAACCTCTCTCTGTTGTTGCGGGAGAAACTGGAAGTGTCAAGATTAGCCGAACCACTCTATCAAGCAAATAGTATGTCTCACGTTTCCGAGTTTCCACAAGACGCTTGCATATGTCAGCAATAGTTGATACACCACTTAGTCTGGGATTCTTTGTGATATCAATATTATAAATCTCCAATTGATATCGTAATTGAATCCTCTCTTGCTCCGTAAAATCTTCAGAATAATACTTCTCAACAAGAAGACAAATTTGATCAACGTTAATCACTTTAGAAACTAAAGTAGAACTAAGTCTTTACAACTCTATCGACCGATCATTGAATCTAGTATTCAACGTATGTAACTATTTGTCCAGTGTGGCTGTAAACAAATCCACTCGATAAAAATGTTCAAAAGTAACATGATTGTCTATTTTTCGAGGCCGGTATCGAATAGAAGTATATGGAGCATTCATATCTGGCATATTTATTTGATGTTTTTCACAAAAAAAACTTTACTTGTGCAAGTAAGGACTCCCATACTTTGTTTCTAAAATCATTTAGACCCTCCTTTGATGCTGAAACTAACTCCATGGCATTAAGAATATCTTGGGATTTCTTTTGTAGAGCTTGAGAAAGTATTTCAGTTTTTCCCATTACTTCCTTTATCAGGTGAAGAATAAACACAAACTCAAATGATTTCAGATAACAGTAAGCTGCATCAGCATCTCTGCGTTGAGAATAAGTAGCAGATACGTCATCAATTATTCCTTGGAGAACAACACGAGTACAAGCAAACATGTTAAGCAAACTACAAACGGAACGAAAATGAGAACCCCAACGTGTATCACCATTTCTTCTTAATGACCCAACTTGATTCAATCCTTTACCTGATTCGATTTCACCTAGTTCCAATAACTGTTCAATCTCAGTTGCCTTTGCTTTTTGTAACTCATCATGACGCTTACTGGAAGCACAAACTACGTTAACTGTAAAAATTAAGTTTGTGAAAAACTGATGAACCAGAATAATTTCCCTTGAAGCAGCCACCAAGGCTAATTGCAATCTGTGAGCAAAGCAGTGAACATAATATGCATAAGGACAATCCTCAAGAACAAGTGCTTGTAATCCGTTCCATTCCCCTCTCATATTACTAGCACCATCATAACCTTGGCCACGGATTTTACTAACATCAAATTGATAGTGTAAAATTTGTCTCCACATATTTGTTTTCAAAGTTAATGATAAGGTATCCCTAAAATGAACAAAATCCAAGAACCTTTCCCATATGATTCCTTCCACATCAACAAATCTTAAAACTATCGCCATTTGCTCTTTTTTAGACTCATCCTGTGACTCATCAACCATGACACAGAAGTATGAATCCCCCACTTCACTACGAATATGCTTTCGAACTTTATTTGCAATAATACTAAGAATTTCTTTTTGAATGTTCGTAGAAGTATACTTTGAATTATAAGGAGCTTTCTCTAATATAACGTTTGCAACTTCATCATTATACGATGCTAGAAGTTTTAGAAGTTGGAGAAAATTACCACGATTTTTGGAATCAAGTGTTTCATCATGTCCTCGTAAAGCACAAGCTTGGAAGGTCAACCAACGAATTGTGTCAATTGACAATTTTATGCATAAACGGTTCTTCAATATTTGTGCTTCATTTTGCTTCACTATGATATTTTCAATGTGAGCTGCTTGGTTCATCAAGTTTTCAACAAATGCAACAACATTTCTATGTTGTGAGCAACCAATATGTCTCAAGAATGCACAATTTTTCCCATCATTAACTTTTTTCCAATTGTCAAATCCTTTAACAGTAAATGCATCGTAACCATGACACACACTTGGTTTATCATTAAATATATAACAAATAAAACAATAAGAAGCATGTGTTGTTGGAGAATATTCTAGCCAAGTAAGGAAAATGTTGAACCAAGAATATTTGAATCTACGAGGATGTTTTGTTGAACCTTTAGCTTGATACTCCTTAAGATGTATTTGGAAAGGTCCTAAATTCAGATAAGCTCGTCTCACTTGTTCTCTTAAATTAACCGGAAAATCCCACATTTGCTTTCGTTTAGCGGGATCTCTTTATAGATTCTTCAAATCAACTTCATTAGGATTTTCCTTTTCTTGTAGTTGTGGCTCATTCTCATGTTGTTTATCATTTTCTTGCGGTTGTGGCTCATTCTCTTGTTGATTTCCCATTTCTTGCAGTTGTGGCTCACTTGTTGAAACTTTGTGACGTTTACTCTCTTCACTTTCATGATTAGTTTCTTTATCATCCGCCTTTCTTTTGTAAAAATAGTCTAAGGTTTTCATCTTTCCCATGATTATATCTATAAAAATCAAAATCAAAATTAGAACAATAACCAATAACTCATTTAACAATTAGCATTGTGTGAAAACTGAAAAGTAAAACCAAATCAAATTGACAAATTGACAGCCAAATCAAATTGACAAATTGACAACCAAATCAATTTTATAAAAATAGTCTAAGGTTTTCATTCATCTTTGTTTTCAGTTTTGTTTGAAGCATAACAAAATCATTTTTTTTCTATTCCTACAGCTTACAATAAATAGACTAGAAGACTAAACAAATCATAATTGAATATTGTTAAGTGATAAACCAAATTCACAAATTGACAGGAGAAATTCTAACCCCTAATTTGGAGTTTGGACAGGACTGAGAGAAAAGAGGAGTCAGGAGAATTGGAGAAACTCACAAACAACAACAACAGTGTAGCACAACATTCAATTAGAACAAGGATTCAAAGAACAAGTGAACTAGAAAAGAAAAAAGAAGATCGACATACCTGATTTTTGGTGTTGGTGCGATGGGTGATGGCGAGACTGAGACCGACTGGCCAACAGCAAGCAACGACAACAGGCAGCAGCAACAGCGGGAAGAGGTAGCAACGAATTTGGGAAGTGGCGACTCAGCGAAATTGGGGAAGAACAAGAATCGAACGTGATTTCTGAATATTTCTTGGAGAATTCGGACTTGTCACTTGAGGCTTGGAGAGTTGGAGTCTATTTCAGGAGGGGCCAAAGCCCAATTTTGAATTTAACAGGCCCTGGAATTAAATTTTTTGTAAGTGTATTTTCTATTTCTAGCCCAAAAATCAGGGGGGGCCACTGCCCCTCATGGCCCTATAAATACTTCGCCACTGTGGCCAACAGCAAGCAGCGACAGCGACAGCAGGCAGTAGCAATAGCCGGCAGAGGCAGCAGCGAATTTGGGAAGTGGCAACTCAGCGAAATTGGAGAAGAACAAGAATCAAACGTGATTTCTGAATATTTCTTGGAGAATTCGGACTTGTCACTTGAGGCTTGGAGAGTTGGAGTCTATTTCAGGAGGGGCCAAAGCCCAATTTTGAAGATAACAGGCCCTGGAATTAAATTTTTTGTAAGTGTATTTTCTATTTCTAGCCCAAAAATCAGGGGGGGCCACTGCCCCTCCTGGCCCTATAAATACTTCACCACTGGATCCGGTTAGTCCCACTTTCTTTATCCGGTTATACCTCTAGGATCGATACATGAATTTTAATTTCTGGAATAGATGAAGCACGTTATTTACTTGAATCTAGAACTCAATTTCTTGTCTGATTTCTAGTATATGGTTCCCAGTTTATTGGTTGGAATCCGGATTTCTTTTTATGGTTCAGTATAATCTGATGAATTATCTATTTATTTTTTTTGGAATCGATGAAGCAAATGATTGTAAGGCAGTTTGATATAATCTGATTTGCTGTTATAAAGTCTACAGTTGGTAGTTGGTTTTATGTGATTCTTGAAATAGAGCAGTTTACAGGGTTTTCTGAATTACGTCTGGTTGATATAGTTTGGTCTTAATCTTGTTTGATGTTAACATGAAGTAGGACTGATGCCTATTTGTGTGTGAATTGTTAGTAGAATGTCTCAAATAATGTTGTTGATATGAGTTATGCCTGTTTTTGTGTGATTTGTTGTTTACATTATTGGTATTTATGTTGTTTACATTTTGGTACTCACAGATAAGGGAGGAAGTTATACACTACAGAGAAGATATCTAATTGAGTGTGGTTTAGGAGAAGAAACATACATAGGTACAGGTGAAGAGGGACTAGAGAGAAAGAGAAAAATGGCAGTGGAGGATGATAAGGTAAAGAGAACTCGAGATCTGCTGTCGAGTTTCTATTCACAAGACGCTTCTCAGACTTCTGCTCCCACCAAAACCACATCAAGATTTGCCACTCTCGACACTATCAACACCACCTCCTTCGATGGCGATCAGTACATGAACCTTCTTGTACGCCCTCTCATCTCATCTTAAATAATTTATTAAATAAAAACTTCTCCTTCTCTTCTTTTATCTCTTAATGTTGTATCAAAATTTGGGTTATATTACAATTTAATTGAGCCCATTTCATGTCAGAGGTAAACTGTTTCTCTCTATGAGTATCAAATGTATATACATATCACTATGTTATTCAAGATTTACAATGAAGGTTCCACATCACCCTTATTCCAGATTTCGAAATCTGGATTTCTCCATTAAATCTTGATTAATCGAACATGTTTTTGCCAACACTTTGATGTTGTTAATCTTAGCTACTGGGAGGAGTAAAATTGTTCAATTAGAGAATCATTGAGTGCATTATAGAGAATCTTTGGCATACTTCATTTACATTTGTCAAAGAAGGTAGATAGATAGGCTTATTTCTTCTATTTTTTTAGTAATTAGTACAGGTGATCTTTCCTTACCAGTCAAGGTTGAACCTGTAGGTTTTTTTAAAGATAAGCCTCATATTAATTAAGCCTATCATTAAACTCTTAAGTCTAAATTATTATGTGACTGGTTTACTATTTGACAACTTACATTATAAAATGTTTACAATGTTTCATTTTCTGGCTTAGATTTTGTTTTTCGGGGATGAGTAAGGGTGAGTTGTGTCCTTCTCCTAACCCTATCTTGAGTTACAATAATTTTTCAGTCTTTAAACAAATATTTGACTAATTTAGTTAGGGAACTTTTTCTTAAAACCAAATGATCGAACTTCTTTAAAACAAATGATTCATCAGACTTTGGAATGATAACTATTTTTTGTGTTGAGTCTTTAAACAATACTAGACTAATTTAGTCAGGGACCTTCTTTTAACCTAATGACCTGTCAGAACTAGTTTTTGTGTCTAACAACTAACAAGATTATTAATCACTCATTGGATTTTTCAGGCCATTCCCCACCAAATGATAATATGCTTCACATGAAATTTTAGGCCCTTCCTCTAGCGGATCACTTGTATACCTCGGGAATATACCAAAAAAAAAAGAAATGGTTTGTGTAGTGGAACTGATCAAACAAGTTGGGGAAGGACTATAATAGGGCTTTGTTGCATCATAGATAATACAAATGTTGTCACAAATTTAGTCATGAGAAAAGATGGGACGCTAGGGACTGGCTTTCATTAACAAAAAAAGCAATAACACTTTACAACAGTTATCTATTAATATGATATTCGACATACTTTGATGAAGATTAGGGTTTCGAAAGTGCATGTGGTTTCTTGTGGTGTTATTAGACTCTCAATCCATCCTATTAATTTTCTGTAAGATATCAAATACATTTTGAGTTTTGATATATATATATATATATATATATATATATATATAGCATCTTAAGTCTATGACTGTAAGCACATGCAAGAAAGGGCTATAAATTTTAAAAGATGAATACAAAATGTGCATACAAGTGCACCACCAATGTGATCTAAAATGTCCTAAGTGGTTAATTATGTACTTCCAAACATTTACCAGGCCTCCATATAAGAGGTATATATTATCCAAGTCTGAGGCACTTTGAATAATGAAGAGTGATAAGGACATCAATCCATGGCTACATTGTCAACTTTGAGCACCTTTTGATGCTTTTTTCCCTTACGTTTCAGGTACAAAAGTCAAATCTGGAAGGCCTCCTTCAGAGACATGTGGAAATGGCTGCTGAAATCAAGAATCTTGACACTAACTTGCAAATGTTAGTGTATGAAAATTATAACAAGTTTATCAGTGCTACAAATACAATTAAAAGGTTAGATAGACACTATCTCTGAGTTACCAAATCTGCTTTATTGGTTGTTTGTGTTGGATTAATGTCTAAGTCCATAACTATAATTGGTAAGACTTGACCCGACCCGGCATGGTCCATTTGGGTTGCATGAAATCATGCACTTGGATAGACTAAATGAGAGAAATAAGACACTTATGGTTATTAATATATTATAAGTTCTAGTATATTAATAATAAGAATAATAAGATTATTTAATTAGTATTGATCAAGAATTAATCTAGGATTAATTAAGTGATCAAAAGAAGACTAATTAAATATATGGGTTGATTGTGCAAATCATCCATACTTATATAGTGGGCTAATGCTCCATGGATTATCTAGTTGGGCTAAAACCCATATGATGCTCCATGGTGTTTTTGTACCCATGGATCATGGAAATGAAAGGCCATGTCAATTAGGGTTTGCATGGTGTAACCCTAACTATATAAGCATCTTATTCTTGACCAAAATCAGTCACTAGAGAGAGTAAGAAAGGGCTAGCCGATTTTCATGAAGTGTAGAATTCTCTCAAGTTATTCCAAGTGTATTTGGTGTTGTGTGAACCATTTGAGGTGTCACACTTGGGGCACTAGGCACTCAAGCTTCATGAAGACTTTCTATATCAAAGAGGTATGTAATCTATCTTGCTATAATCATTGTTTTGTATGCTAGATTAGGATAATACCTTGGAAGTTCTTATTTGCATGTATAATAGAGAAAACGTAGATCCAAGGTATTTAGGGTTGCATGTACACTTAGGAGTGTTAGAATGCTCAAAACCCAACAGTGGTATCAGATCCTAGGCTTGTTTTCTTGTTATACTTGCAAATGGAGCTGAAAAATCGAGTTTTGATGTTGTCTGCCCAGCAGACTCGCCGAGTCCAAGGCAAAAAGCATCCAACTCGCCGAGTTGGTTCGTGCACTCGACGAGTTGGACCCCCAGACAGCATAAATTCGACTTTTTTGGCTGGAATTGGACTAGGAACATTACCCTAAGATGTTTTTGAACTTATAAACTTGTTTTTGATGTGGTAATGTTCATGCTAATCCAATTTCAAAGATAATTGTCAATAGATTCATGTTTTGTATTAGTTTAAGGTTTAGACTAATTACATGAAAAAGTTTGATTTGAATTATCTTGTTCTTATGAGTTGCTTAGATTAATAGAAAAGTTGAGTGAAATAGTTGTTTTCAATCCAAATTAATCTAAGAGTTGATTCTAAAATGTGTTTTTGTAACTTGTCCTCAAGTTATATGAAAAGTCACATTTAAGTTTCATAAAACTCATAAAAGTTGGCAAAGGTTACAAAATGAAGAGTCTAGTTCTAATTAATTGATGTTATGACTCCATAATTTGTCCTCAAGTTATGGAGGACCAAGAGTCTCTTCATTAAATAATAAATAAAAAAAGTGTAACCTTAATTAATTCCATAAGTTATAAAATAAAGAAAAGTTAATTCTTTTATTAGTTTAAAGTCTTCCATAACTTGTCCTCAAGTTATGGAACTTGAAGAGTTTTTGGATTAAAACTACTTTAAACACATAAGTTATGGAATTAATTAGTTTTGAATAGTTTCAAAACTTGCCCTCAAGTTTTGGAATTTGTAAAGTTTTCTCTTATGAATACTTTAATTCCAAGTTAGCCCTTAGAATTTTAAGAGTTAAAATTCAACCCTTATACTTATAATATTATAAGTTAATAATATATATATATATATATATATATATATATATATATATATATGTGTGTGTGTGTGTGTGTATGTATAAGAGTAAAGTCAGTCTTACCGCTAGTACGCCTCATTCACGAAGCCGGTCTATAAGGTGGGTATAAGGTTGTTGCCTATAAAATGGCAACTTAATGGGTGTCCACTCTCACCCACCGCTTGCTTGACTGGTGGAGGGTCGTTAGCCGAACGGGTTTGACAGGACTAGAATTCTCCCTTCATTAAAAGTATTAATGATAAATACTAAGTAACTAAACTCTTATAAATACCCAATCTTAGTTACTTAGGAAAATGTGAATAAGGTGCTAATCCATGAAATTACACTTTGCACTTTGTTTAAGTCGGTTAGTGGAGCGTGTGTGGTTAACCGGCACACTAACTCGTATTTAAAAAGGTAGGCAAAGGGTAACTTAATGTTTATCATAGTATCGATGGAGTGTGTGTGGTTAACCGACACATCGATTGAGGGGTAAACACTTAAGGGTACCAAGTAATTTGTGTGGTTACTTCACACCTTGTTTTGCGATCCTCGACATCCCAGTCACAAAACCTGAAGGGCACACTCGAGATTGAAACATGCCATTGAATAGTTCAATGAATCTCAAAGATCTAGGAGTTTCAAAACCAATTAAAACCTAATTAGTATTTCGTTTTTCATGGTGGAAATTGGTGAATCGTCATTCACCTACCTTCAAATTTTTTATAGCTTGGATTACGGCATACCTCTTCTAAGTTATAAAATAGTTTGTTGGGTCCTAGCCTTAATATTTCATATTGGGTGTCATATTAAGGACTTAAGATCAACTATCTTGAATATCTCCCAAAACATGTCTGGTTTAGACATTTATGATCTTCCCAAATCTCTTGAAACAAGCTTTCCTAAATGAAGATGATGTCCCTTAGAAATCATACTTCTTTCACCTCCTCCAATTATTCTCCCTAACCCACAAGTTCTTGAAAAGTTTAAGAATCACTCAAGCCCTATTGGCAAGGCAAGGTCTAGGTGTGGTCACATCTTGGAGATGTAGTCATATATTGACAAGCCAAGAGAGTTGGGTGTCAAAGTCTTGAGAAAGTTGGTGGTTCAATCACTTTCTAAGTCACATAGTGAGTTCCTTTGGGACACCTATGAAACAGACTATGACAAGACCCTTAATGATCTTATCTATTTGTTAAGATCAACTTCCTTAAAACTTGATGGACATTGACAATAGTGACACAGGAAATCCAGAAAAGCATTCTCTTCCCAATGGAAAGGGATCGGTCATAGTCAACTCGGTTGACCAAATGGTAAATAGAAAAGCTAAGTTTTTGTGATAGTCCCGTGTACCATTATCAAAGGGTCCATATGTTTATATTGCCAAAAAAAGGGTCATTAGTTGCGAAGCTGCCAAATTTACCTAAGGATGTTAAAGTCAATAAGTTTGACTCTACTTCAGGTAAAGTCCACTATCTAACTCTGCTAAGTTTCTATTATGAGATTCTTGATACATGATGTGACTGGGTCACATGGTGATTTTTTTAAGAATCAAAGAAAAGTGAAGAAACTTAAAGAAAGAATATGTTGAATCTGATCGCGTAGATGGATTTCTATCGCGTAGTTTGAAGATCGGATTCTTGAGCTACTTCTTAGGAGTTATGAGATGTTGCTTAGGAATAGATAACAACAAGTTTTTCATATGGATTGTAAGGATAAGTTTTTCCGCTAAGTTTTTAAAATAAAAGGAAAAATGATGATTTTATTTATTTTACAATATCCTTACAATGGCATTTGAGGAAAAATTGTTGCTTATATGATTCCATTAATTCTTTCATTTGTGGTGATGTCTAAATTTACCAAATAAGGAAAGATTCTCATCACCAAAGTCTCAATTGGACTGGAACTTGGAATCATACAAGTTGTATAGCATGATGAATGAGAACTTTCAAGTATTGGAAAATTAAGACTAATTACTTGTTCACATGGATGTGTGAGTCAAGTAAAGGACTAAGGGATCGAGTACACATTCTTGTGCACTGGTCAAGTCCACCACAAAAGATCAATAAGATTATTCGTCATAATTTACTAAAGTTCAGTAAATATGGTTATACTTACAAGCTTAAGTGTAATTCTGAGACATTGGAAAAAGGTTCCAATGTAAGGCAGAGCGAATAAGAAGAATCAAATTAGGCAGAAGGATAAAAGTTTCTCAAATCTGAAAAGATGGGAGAGTACTTTCGTATCAGTTTTTATGATCATCTTAATGATTTAGAGACCTTATCACAATTCATCCTCTAAGTGATTTCTTATAGCTAAGAAGATGAACTATGAATTGTTGAAGTGGTTAAATCAAGAAAATGAGTCATACTTAGTTCCAATACAAGTCTTAGAGTCATACTCCAAGATTGTAACTTGAGTGACATGTCTCAAAGAAGGTTTAAAACACTTGTCAAATGTAAGAGTAAAAGTTTTCTACTTTTGTACATTTGAAATTGGTAAGTTGTGATGTTTTGGATAAAACAAAGACCAACTTAGGCCAATTGTGTGAAGTGTTTGTCTTGGTTAGAATCCACACTATCCCTTGGATGTTTGACAAGGGAGTCTTATAGGTCAAGAGGACAGTGGGAGTCTTAAAAGTCTCAAGAACTAATCAAGAATACAACCTGAAGTTCTTCACTAGCACACGACTTGAGGTTTATAACCTATCGTGTTGACATATTCTGTGCCCATTCCAGTTAAAGTTGGCTTTGCATATGAGTTCTTAGAGTTCTCAATGTGTCGCACAACAAGTCGGAAGCAATGGAAGGCCCTTGAGCTGCCAGGTGGCAAGAAATTAAGATTGAGTTCAATCCATATGAGTTTGGATTTGTCATTATCCTTGTCTTGTGATTATGGTTTTGACAAATTCATATGGGTAGGAACTCCTACACCATAAAAATCTAAGTGTCATAAGGTTTCTCTCCGATTCATGAAAATGATGGTGAGGAAACACTTTCACTAAGCAGATTTTAGCTAGATAGCAATTGTGATATTTGCATTCTCAAAGTTGTTAGTGGAGCGTGTGTGGTTTACCGACACACTAACCTGGACTTGTGAGAAGTAGCAAAAAGGTCTAACCATTATGATTACGGCATCCCTCTTCATAATTGTTTAGACACACAAGTGTGCTATCTAAGGGAAGATGTATGATTTTGATAAAGTCTTATCAAAACAATCTAGTATCAGAAATCTGAACTTTCGTAAGAAAGTCAGCTGATTTCTGAATACATGTCAAAGCTAGTGGGAGCATAAGTGTTACGCTAATAATCATCATGTTAGTGGGAGCATGATAATTATGATAAGTATTGCAAGTTAGCAATGTTAATTATAGAAAACAAAAGGTTTCAATTGGGAAAAGTTGTTTTGCTATAATTAAGGGAGAGGAAACTATACTTCATCTCAAATCTATAAGCTTAGATCATGAGGCTTTAATCATTTAGTCAAGGAAATATATATGAATTTCATGTTGGAATGGCTCAACATAAGGAAATTCTGTATATGGGTCCATTATTTGCGTTCTAAAATTCGATTATGATTACGGCATCCCTTTTCATAATCTGAATTATGAGAACTTGGCAAATAGAAATGGAAATGTTATAGCAAAAGACTGGTTTAGTCTTTATGTGAGACATCATGAATCGTTTCCCATATGCTTCGGATATAGGATCGATTACATGTGCTATATTCATCAGTTCTAAAAAATTTCCAAATGCCTGGGGCATTAAGAAAGGAAAAGGTTTAGAACTGGATATGACTAAAAGGATTAAACAATTGTCGAGGACAATCTAAGGTTTACCAAATATTGGTTGCTCAAGGACAGTTGGAAGTATAGTGATAATTCTGGAAGGACCATATTGACATAATTTGTAAGGAGGCAACTCTTGTTCAGAAGTGATAGTCAAAATGGAATCTGGATATGTTTCAAAGTTAGAATTTTCAATCTGTTTAAGATTAGGAAACTTAATGCAAGAAGGATGTTTCTAAGGAGCTGATCTCCTTTGGAATGCTCTGTAATGGTTGTTGTCAAGACTTTCTGACTTTGTGCATAATCATTACAAGAGGATCAATGCATATAAGTTTAGAAGCTAACAGATTTCAGTAAATGACATGAATTTGGAATTCTTGTATTTGCAGTAAGGATTTGGGAGTGTGAAAAGAGAATCATTGAAGTTATGTTCAATGAATCTAGTTCACAAAGTAAAGATCATAGACAAACATATGCATGCTTGGTGTATGGCATGACTAGTGTTTAAAAAACATAGTGTACATGCTTGGAGCATGGGACAACTATTGTTTTAAATTTAAGAATAAAGTTGATAGCTGAAACAGTATAAAATGAATAATGTGTAATCATATGGTGATAAATAAAAGGTGTTTTATTTATGTTCATAGATTTTGATACCATATTGGATTCAATTATTATTGTGTTTCACTTTGCATGTTTTGACTTCCCGGATAAACTGGGTTATCCTTCCGGAATGACTAAGTTATTCAAACCATCCACAGTCGTTCATATGTTGGAAGTAGATATGAATTAAGACTGTCATGGGTTTGCTTGTAGAGGTCTAAGGTGTTGGACAAAGGGCTACAACACTCATGAGTGCTCATAAGTTTTGAGTATTGGATTCAACCCATGCTCATTGGAATCACTTCATGGATTTTATCACGAGTGATCATGAGATGATAATATCTTATATTCTTCAAACCTAGAGATATGAGTTGTTACTATGAGTTGATAGTACATTGATTGCACGAAAACGCATTTGGTAACTCGGTGCTATAAAACGTGTCTTTGTGTATGATTCAACAAGTAGTAGAACAAGCCATATGAGTCGAAGTTTATCCATTCCTTTTACCTTCGGGATAAAAGCGAAATCTGTGGGCCCCTCGATGATTTGATGATGACAAATGGAAGTGCTCGGCCGGGCCAGGACTGATTTGATTTGTTTAATTAGTCAGTCGTCATTAATCGGAAATTGGGAATCAACAAATGGACAGAGAGAATGATTATAATCCATGTCTCAGTCCATATGATATCTAGAATGGAGGAATATATGATCCCTTATCTAATGGACAAGTCATTGACAAAGGTCAAAGTTCATCGACAAGGTCAGACTTCGACAAAAGCTTTTGAGAGCTACGATTGCCGGTCGGTTCTTGAAGTCATACGCAATAATAGTTTTAGACTTATCCAAGTGGGAGACTGTTGGATTAATGTCTAAGTCCATAACTATAATTGGTAATACTTGACCCGACACGACATGGTCCATTTGGGTTGCATGACATCATGCACTTGGATAGACTAAATGAGAGAAATAAGACACCTATGGTTATTAATATATTATAAGTTCTAGTATATTAATAATAAGAATAATAAGATTATTTAATTAGTATTGATCAAGAATTAATGTAGGATTAATTAAGTGATCAAAAGAAGACTAATTAAATATATGGGTTGATTGTGCAAATCATCCATACTTATATAGTGGGCTAATGCTCCATGGATTATCTAGTTGGGCTAAAACCCATATGATGCTCCATGGATGCTCCATGGTGTTTTTGTACCCATGGATCATGGAAATGAAAGGCCATGTCAATTAGGGTTTGCATAGTGTAACCCTAACTATATAAGCATCTTATTTTTGACCAAAATCAGCCACTAGAGAGAGTAAGAAAGGGCTAGCCGATTTTCATGAAGTGTAGAATTCTCTCAAGTTATTCCAAGTGTATTTGGTGTTGTGTGAACCATTTGAGGTGTCACACTTGGGGCACTAGGCACTCAAGCTTCATGAAGACTTTCTATATCAAAGAGGTATGTAATCTATCTTGCTATAGTCATTGTTTTGTATGCTAGATTAGGATAATACCTTGGAAGTTCTTATTTGCAAGTATAATAGAGAAAACATAGATCCAAGGTATTTAGGGTTGCATGTACACTTAGGAGTGTTAGAATGCTCAAAATCCAATAGTTTGGCCAGTAACATTGATTGGTGTTGGATATGTATATTAATACTTTTTTTTGTGGCAGAATGAAGAATAATATTTTTGGTATGGAAGTAAATATGGAGCAACTCCTTGAGAAGGTATTTTGGGAACACATTGTTGACCTTGTTAGCAAGAAAAACGTAGAAAGTTATATAAATAATACCACTACTTATTACTTTTTGCAGATAATGTCAGTGCAGTCGCGAAGTGATGGGGTCAACACTTCATTTTTTGAAAAGAGAGAGCATATAGAGAAATTACACCGCACCCGTAATCTATTGCGCAAAGTTCAGGTACCAAAATGCCCTTTCCACTTCTACTGATTGATTGTTACTTTTTCCAAACATATATATATATATATATATATATATATATATATATATATAATATCTACTCATTACCTTTGTTAAGCAGTTTATATACGATCTTCCTACCACGCTTGGAAAATGCATCAAATTTGAAGCATATGGTGATGCAGTGAGGTTCTATACTGGAGCCGTGCCAATATTTAAGGTCATTTTATCAACTTTTCTTTCTTATGTCAGATTAGATCAGATGCTTATGTGCTTATGAACCCATGTAATTCATTTATATTTTTTCTCTGTATGTTGAACTTTCACCAGGCATATGGGGACTCCTCATTCCAGGATTGTAAGAAAGCATCTGAAGAAGTAATGTCATTTATCGTTAACAAGCTTCAGGTACATTCATTGTTAATTTATTTATGAGAATGAGATTAATTCAGATCCTTATATAGCCATTTGGAATATATGTTAAATAATAAAAAGAAAACAATATTGTGCATCTTGTTTTTCAGGATAAGGTTTCTTCTGAATCTGAATCAATACAAGCAAGAGCGGAGGCTGTAATGCTTCTTAAGCAGTTGGATTTTCTGGTTTGTAACTCTGATTTTAGCAACAAATTCAATTCAAGAGCTTTGTCCTGTAGTATTTATTTTGTGGGCTTGCTGAATATTAACTTCTACATTGAATTGAAGAAAGGATACACAACTTGTGATGTGCATACATGCATGCATCCAATCATTAGCCTACACACATGGAAACATGGAAAGCAAAACAACTTGAATTTTGCATTTCATGTGCTATTTTCAGCTGTTATGTATAGTTACTATTAGTTCCATAGTCAAAATGATTGTCACTTTGATTTACTTTAGACCTCTAGTAGTGCATGTTCCTTGTATTGGTAACACATGTTTGAGTACATATGGAATAGAAAAACAAAAATCCAAAAAGGAATAACTATATGATTTCATAGAGTATGGTTATGTGAAAGTTTGATATATTTGTGTTACTAAAAGATCACAACACAAGACTATCCTGTTGTACCCGAAAATCAAAAAAAGAAAGGATACTAAATTACTTTTTGGAGGATTTGAAACATATTTTGAAGCTGTAGAAAGATGATGTAAACAATCAAGTTTTCATGTTTTTTTTCCAAGTATTTTAATGAAATGCACAGAGAAAGTATTTGATTGACTAGGTAAGGTATGCATGTTGGCAGGTTGAAAATTTGAAATCCAAGCTTCTTGAAAATCTAGAGCAGTTCCTTAGGGAACTTGATCTCTCTAAAGAGATAACAGACATGGGTTCTCGTGAATCTACCAATGAAGGAAGTGAATCTGATTCCATTCCTTGTGTTCCCGAGGTAATTACAATACACAATTGTTTTCATTTGCAAGTTGATCATGAGTTGCCCAATTTGTTGAATAGGTTCCCACTCGTGAATTTGTGGAAGTTGTTCATGCATATCATGTCATTTTCCCTGATTCAGAGCAGCAACTGGTCGAACTCGTGCAATATTTAACCACAAGGTAAAGGTAATAATAATAATATGCATCTGCATCTTGTTGTGTTGAATGTTGATACCTAATTGGTGTTTGGTTGGTTTATCAGGCACTTTGAAGCTGCCAGACAAGAAATACAGCAACGGATATCTTCAGAAAAATTATCCAACTGACTTCGTATGTATTATTATTATTGTTTATGGTTGTAGGCATTAACAAGAGAATGTGAGATGAATAAAATGTGTTACTTACAGGTTTTATATGGACTGATGTCCTCCTGATGGATGAAGTCTTACCAGAGGCTGGCTGGTGTACAAGATTTTGGTTTCGAGGTCATCATTACTATCTATCTATCTATCTATGAGTAATGAGTTAGTTATGTTTATAATTTGTTTAGTTGACTATTAAAAATGTTAATGGGTTCACTTCAGGCTGCTTTTGTTGCTGTGAGTGAGTATGTTGCCAGTGCTTTTACCCATCTTCTTCATGAAATATCCGGTTAGTCTGTCTCTGTAAACAAGACATGCATATATTTTTTAATATGAACAAAGGATAAAAGTGTAATGCTTTGGTTGGTTTTCTTCTGATTTGAACTGCCAGACACTCTCTTGCAAATTCAAAAGGAAGATGGCACAGACAAGGAATATCCTTTGGGAGCTGCCCTTGAGGCCACCAAAAATACTTTGATTCAAGGCAGTATAAAACTCTTATTGGTAAATCATACATACATACATACATACATACATGCATGCATGCATGCATACATACATACATACATACATACATACATACATGTGTATTATTAATTAGTTGATATTGTACAATTGATGTTAGTGTAGGATTTCCGTGTTGGGATTGATATTGAAGCTAAGAGACATGATGATTGGTTGGATACGTGAAGGGTTTCAGAGGTTCTTCAGACGACTTAATGATGAGTTACTGTTGCTCTCCGGACAAAATGTTAATGTTAATGTTGTACAACAACAACAACAACAACAATAGCAGCAGCAGCAGGAGAGGTTGCAAGGTGACAAGGTCCCTGCTGGGGTTGTACTTGTGATATCCCAGCTATCTGTTTTCATTGAAAGAGAAGCCATCTCAAGAGTTACCGAGGCAACACCTGCTTTTCTGTTTCTATCTTTTATATTTATATTTATATTTATTTTCATGGCTTGTACATGTTACTTTTCAGGAAACTGGGTCCTTGTTGTCATTGTCAGGTGGTGGTTATGCTTTTGATCCTGCTCAAGTGTGTCACACCTTTAGAGCGGTTGGGGAAAGGCTCTTGCAACATGTATGTTTCTTGTTCTTGTATTTATTTATTTATTTATTTATTTATTTATTTATGACATACATGTTGTGTATTGTTGAGTTGAGTAAATTGATTGAGGCTTCCTTTACAGTATGTAAATATGAGAACCCAAAGGATTTCTGTTCTTTTGAAGAAGAGGCTGACAACACCGAATTGGGTCAAGGTTTGTCCCATATCACATCTTGCTGCTGTTATAATATGAATATGCATGATGCATGGTGCATGTGTTGGATTAGTATCTAAGCCAATAACCATATTTGGTAAATACTTGACCCGATTGTGCATGGTCCTTTTGGGTTGCCTTCACCAAAGCAACTTGATTTGAGAAGTAATAGAGAAAGAGGTTATTATGATTTATTAATATGTTATAAGAATAATATATTAAAGGAGAAATCATAATTGTTTAATTAATATTGGTAAATAATTAATTAGGAATTAATTTTGTGATCAAGTGTAATTAATTAAACTAGAGGGGATGAATTGTAATTATGTGATAGTTACAAAATATGGTAATGGTTATCCTAGATATAGGTTGGGCGAATTCAAGGGATAATATATCCTTGAAATCGTCCAAAGGATAAGGATAAGGGTTTTCAAGGCTTATCTTATGGTTACTTGGTGGGCAAGCAACTAGATAAGGATAAGGACTGAAACCCTAATCTCTACACCTACATAAAGACCCCTAAGGCCATAAGAATTCGTCCATGCCTTGTCTAGGGTTCCTAGGGACAAATTTCACACCTCTTTCCTCTCTCTATTACCTCTCCATTTTCTCTTGGTGTTTGTGAGCCATTAGAGGTATTACACTTGTGGTACTTGCTTTCAAAGACAAGAAGGTTCAAGATTTAAGTTGTTATTACAATATAACAACAAGAGGTATGTATTTCATCTTTCCTTGAGGATTTCAAAATTCTTAGAAGCCTTTTAGGGTTCTTCAAGTGTTCATAATGTTGTGTATCTAATAGTGAAAACATAGATCCAATTATAGGGTCGCATGCACACATAGGATTGTTTGTATAAAACCCATCAGCATGATGCATGAATTGATTTATCTTTGTGGCAAACATGTTGACATCATAAAGATCCAAGAGAAAGTTCATATGTTTGTGGATATGTATGTTTCTTCAAGAGGTATGTATATTCAGCATATAATAATAATATTAATAATAGTAAGTATGAATGTATGTATTTAATAAATAATAATGTGGTGTGGCAGTAGGAAGAGAAGTGAAGCAGATATTAGGTGAAGGAGGATGGGTTGTGCGTAAACATGCGCGCACGGAGAAGAATGGAAGAACAAGCTCTTCACGCAACAATACTAATAATAATAACCGTTCAAACACCAACATGGCTAGGAGTCAGCTCCTGGAAACTCATCTGGCAAAGCTGTTTAAACAAAAAATGGAAATCTTCACAAAAGTCCAACACACACAGGTAGTTAGGTATTTGCTTATTTTAGGTAGTAGATAGATACACATAGATAGATAATAAATCAACTAATAAGAATTTTGGTTGCAGGGATTTGTTGTGATGAGCATTGTGAAACTTTACCTGAAAAGCTTCCAGGAGTTTGTTAGGCTTCAGACATTTAATCGGAGTGGGTTCCAGCAGATTCAATTGGACGTGCAGTACCTCAAAACCACCCTCAAAGACACAACTGATTCTGAAGATGAGGCTGCTCTTGAATTCCTACTTGATGAGGTACTTTACCCCTCCACTAAAATAAATACTCCAATATCTTTGCATCTATGTGTTTTTGTTTTTGATGTTTTCCTTTTGGGGTTGGGGTTAAACAAAACAGGTGATTGTTGCTGCTGCAGAACGTTGCCTTGATCTTAGTCCTCTGGAGCCTGACATCCTAGACAGACTTGTACAACTCAAATTGGCTAGATAGGCCCACCAATGTATCCATTTCCAATTCCAATTCCAAATCCAATCCAAGGATTTTTTTTCTTTTTTTTAAAAAGAGAGCAACATATCTGTTTGTTGTATGCTTGTGTTATATATATAGAGAGAGAGAGTGAGAGAGAGCATCACAAGTGTAGTGTGGTTGGTGGTCCAATCCCAATCAAATCTGTAACATCCCGAAATATCAAGAGTAGAGTTGAAGGGCTAAAAGAGTAAATTGGGAAAGAGTGACTCGGCGAGTCCATGTGCGGACTCGGCGAGTAGAGTCGCGACTTGGTCGCGTGTTAAGTGGCCGACTCGGCGAGTCAGGGTAATGGACTCGGCGAGTAGGCGCTGAGTGGAGAAAACCCTAATTCTCGGGGTTGAGCCTTATATAAAGATCATTATGTTTCCCTCCCAGCCTCTTTATCACCCCTTGAGCCCCAAAAACCCCTAAATCACGAAGAAGCACCATTGTTGGATGGAGTGGAGCTTGGAGAATGTATTTGTGAAGGAATTTTGGGGAGATTGAAGGCTTGGAGCAAGGGGATTTGTTTGAATTCGAGTCTCATTTCAATTAGGGCATTCCTTTGAGGTAATATCTCGTTTTTTGAGTTGCTATTTCTTAGATGCATCATTTTGGGGATGTTGGAGATCATATCTTTGGATGTATTGGAGTTTAGAGGTTTGATCTGAGGTTGCTACCTCAGATCTGGAAGGGAGAAGGTCTAGAGTGCATGAAAGTCCCTGTTTGTGAGTGGTTGATGGAGTCATCTTGTCCCAAATCCTAGCCCAATGTGCAAACGGCTTAGATCTCTTTGGATTCAAGTAAAGTTTGCCACTTTACGTGATGGATGGGTTGTAGGAGGCTAGATCTATGTTTTGAATCAGTTGCATGGCCTGGAGTGCTACTGAATGGATTCAGAACGGTGGTACTCGGCGAGTCACATGGGTCGACTCGACGAGTTGCTTGCAGATGGCCTGGAACTCGACGAGTTGGAAGAACAACTCGGCGAGTAGGTTGAAGATAGCCTTGGACTCGGCGAGTCTTGTCGAAGAGTCCCAAATATTCTCTGGTAGAGTCGAGAATCGGTGAGTTGAGGGATGACTCGGTGAGTCGAGTGCGAGTGGACTCAGAGTTGTTGGACTCGGCGAGTCTTGGGGTGACTCGGCGAGTTAGGTCGCAGATTGAATGAAGTTCTGATTATGGGAACTCGACGAGTCACAGAGTTGACTCGACGAGTAGGGCCAGTCAGGGGTTGACTTAGACTGAGGACTTTGATTTCGACCAAGGGTTGGTCGTTGACTTTTAGGGTTTGGTCAGCGATGAGGCCTTTGGGCCAAGAGAGAGGTAAACTAGTCTTTTACCCATGAGAGGGTGTTATGAGAGGATTTATTCTAGTCTCGAGAGTTATATTCATGAGAATATTTGCTTTACGTGTTAGGCGGTGGCGAGTTTGAGATTCCAGTGTGGGGATATCTGCTTTCTGCTTGCCAGGTGAGTCTTCTCACTATACTTTACCTTGAGTAGGTAACTAGAGTTATGTGTTCAGAGTATTTGTATGCTATATGTACGTGATGTGTTGTACTGCATTATTTCTATGTGATTTATGCTGTGCATGTTTATAGAGTTGGAACCGGAAGGTTCCCAGAGTTAGAGCCTGAGGGTTCACAGAGTTTGGGTGCACGGACCCATAGAGTTATAGCCTCGAGTGGCTAATATGTGTTATGTGTGGTATTTTGGGGAACTCACTAAGCTTCGTGCTTACAGTGTTTTGTGTGATGTTTTTTTTCAGGTTTCTTTCAGTATCACGGGACGGCACCGGCTTGATTGTACACACCAGAGAAAGAGTCATATTTTGGAGGATCCTGGTTTTCTATGCAAGTGAAAATGGAGTCATGTTTTGTAAATCGACTATGAATGAGATTTCAAACAAGTGTTTCTAAGAATAAAATGATTATTTTAAATGAAAAATTTGTCTTGAAATTTACGGTGTTACAAAATCCATGGTGTTGGGGTCTAGATTCTTGTTTTCATATACAAAAATTAAATACCAAGTCAACTGTTTATTCGGATCATATCCATCCATGTATTGTATTTAGATTGGTGGCTCAATCCAGATTATCACCACCCTAAAAATTAGAAACTCATAGGATCGGTCTCCTTTTGTATTGTCTAGAGTAAGTGATGGTAGATGAATAATTGTTTGGGGAAAATACTAATCTAGCCAAATACACTAATTATCTATCTAAAATTAGCCAAAAAAACATATTAGCCAAAACTAGCCCACGAAATAGTAGATATGCTAGGGTTGATTACGGTCAACATTCGAAAACTACTCTTTCGTCGCAACAGACTACTCTTTCGTGGCCCGTCTACTATTTTGTGGTCCAGTGGGTCATAGTATATAATGTCTTATTTTTCACTTTAGGTTATTTTTCTTCGTTTTTTATTCCATTGTCTATTATTTTCTCTCAATAGAGCACCCGAAGAACAACGAGGTACGTCAATTTTTAATCAAAACTTTATCGTATTGTTGATTAGGAGTAGTTTTTGTATATGGGGATAACTTTTTTTTTTGAAAAAAAACGAAAAAAAATTTAAAATTCTTACGAAATTACGGTGTAAGAATTTGGTCACTCGTTTTTTTTTTTTTTTTTTTTTTTTCTTAAAAAAATCATAATAAAAAAATATGATTGCTGGAATTCATATGGGAAAGTGAGCAAATGTAACGATAGTTCTTTTTTTGGATTATACTCTCTTTTTAACATAAAAAATAGACAAAAATGTACAAATGGTCCTTGTGGTTAGCTGAAAATTGCTACTTTTGTCCAAAAAGTTTTGGACTAACACAGAGGCCTAAACTTTTCATTTTGTTGTGAATTTGGTCCAGTTTTCTATAAAGTTTTTCATAATGACTATTTTGCCCTTGTTTTTTTCTTTTTCAGTTTTTTATTATTTAAATATTTTTTTTATTAAAAGAAAAAATAAAAAAGAAAATTTGCATTTTCTATTTTATTTTTATATTTTTTATATAACAAAATAAAAAATGAAATATTCTCTCTCTCTCTCTCTCTCTCTCTCTCTCTCTCTCTCTCTCCCTCTTATTTCCAACACCACACAACCCTCCAACCTGCTGCCTTACCTCTTCCCTCTTCCCCTCCGATGACCACTGCCAACATAAGCAAAAAAGAAGAAGCCGCCAGACTATCGGGCAGCCTCCTGCCACCGTAGAGCTGCTCTTGGTCACCACCTCTGTTATGTTGCTGTTGCTACTACGTAAGTCCCCATTGCTATTTTTTTGTGTGAATTGCAAAGGGCCAACCCAAGGAATCAAATGTCCCGTCATTTTTTTTTTCTTTCATCATCTTCATCGGAGTGGATGTTCAGTGGCGATGTGCCGATGATAGTGAAGAAGGGCATGTTGCAGGTACGCTGTCATTGTTGCTCCAATTGAGGGTTTTCGAGCCCTAATCACACCTAAATTAAAATTTTCCGGGCAAGCTTCAATATCTGGTAAAATTACACCGCAAAAGAGAGGGTCATTTGAACACTAGAATGTAGAATGCTTTAATGGAGAAAAATGGAGGGCACATTGCTTGTATCTGTTTTGTTGAACATAGTCCTAAACCCTGAAGATTCTTGCAGTAAGAGTGGAATTGGAGAAAATCAAAAGAACAGAAGTTGGGGATGGTGGCTGTGACTGGTGATGACGGAGTGGGTGACGAAGGTAGGAGCTGCGCCGACAGCTTGCTGTCTGGTTTTTTCTTGTGTCAGACCATTTACGACGAGGTGGAAGGCAGCATATCAATATAAGCTTCATTTAATAGAAGAAGAGGGAGCACGGGGGTAGTGATAGAGTTGTGGTGGTTGCACGGTGGACACTTTTAGTGGAGGGTGATGACAGGTGAATGCTGGAACGAAGGCCACAGGTGGAAGACAGCAACGACGTTGGGGTGTTTGATGGCAATGAGAGAGAGAGAGAGAGAGAGAGAGAAAGAGAGAGAGTTTCTTTTTTATTTTTCTTTTAATCATAAAAAAACATTTAAATAAATAAAAAAATAGAAAAAGAAAGTACCAAGAGTAAATCCATCATTTTAAATATTTCTAAATCAAATTGGACCAAAATCGCAATAAAATGAAAACTTTAGATCTATGGTGCTAGTCAAAACTTTTTTAGAACAAAGTGTCAATTTTGAGCAAACCAAAATGACAATTTGTGCAGTTTAGTCTAGAAAATAACTAAATTTGTTAATAGAGAGGTGCACAAAAATCGGTCCTAAGTCGTTTTTTTTTTTTTTTTTTTTTTTTTTTTTGGATCGATCTTTTTTGGACCGGTCCCGATCGGTTCTTCGTCGGTCCTTTTTTCGGTCCCATTCTTTTTTGGATCAGTCTTTTTTCGGATTGGTTTTGGCTCTAAACTAGTCCGATACGGGTCTTTTTTCGGTTCGGTTTCGGATTTTTTTTCGGGTTCGGCTTCAATTTTTTCAAATTTTTTGCTACATTTCATAACATTTTAAACCATCATCCATCAAGTAAATATATATAATAATTTCAACATTTCATAACTTCATAAATACACATATAACTTCAAACATATATCATTAATATATAAAACTTAAAAATTGGATTCAAGCTTTTGTAGTGTAAATCCAGAGACATTTTAAATTTTGAGAAAGAGAGAATTTGAGGTGAGAAGATTATAGCCCGGTAGTTAATTTTCATTACTTGGTTGAGTAAAAATAAGGGATAATGACTTAAAAAGGTAATGAAGTTTAAAAAATGTACAAAAAATACTATTATTTTATTTTTAGTACTCAAAATACCATTAAAGTATATTTTTTATACACAAAATACCAATGAAGTACACATGTTTCAAATAATACCTTGTGGGTAACCTACAATAGCCGGTAAATGGTATTTTGTGTACAAAAAAAAACAATGGTCTTTTTTGTACATTTTTGAAACTTCGTTACCTTTTTAAGTCATTTTTCATTCTTTGAATGTAAAGGAAATTTAGCTACTTTTTATAAAAAAAAACCCTCCACTTCACTTCGGCCACTACTGTTGTTCATCGCCACCCTCCACCACCATGGCAAAACCTTTTTTCTTATTCTTCCTCCTAATCATCTGCTTACTTTCATCAACGCCGGAATCTCACCGGCCACCTCCGTTTCTCAGCAAATCCCCACGGCTTCTCAAAACCCAAAAATTCTTGTTCAGCTGAAGTACACTTACGAGACACGATACTTTGATCAGACTCTTGATCATTTTAGTTTCAATGATCTTCCCAAGTTCCAACAACGTTATCTCATTAACTCCGATCACTGGGTAGGCCCATGCCCTAGTCGTTTGGGCCCAATCTTCCTTTATTGCGGCAACGAAGGCGACATCGAATGGTTCGCTGCCAACACCGACTTCGTTTGGGAACTCGCCCCTCGTTTTGGTGCCATGGTCATCTTCCCCGAAGTAAAAGCCCTAATCACTCTACTCTACATTAATTTGTTCACTTGCAGACCTTTAATAATACAATTTTATCAAAAGCTACGTGATTTTGATCTAGCATCGATATTATGGTGAATCGATGACATATGGAAGCCAGAAAGAGGCATACAAGAATGCTTCTACTTTAGCCTATCTAACAGCCGAACAAGCACTTGCTGATTACGCTATTCTCATCACCGATTTGAAGAAAAATTTATCAGCCGAAGCATCACCTGTAATCTTGTTCGGCTGATCATACGGTGGAAGTAAGATCTTTTCCAACAATTTCAACAAAAATTAAACAAGCACTTGCTGATTGCGCTCATCTCATCCCATTTACCTGAAGTACCTGGTTACTATAATGTTTTAGTTGAACACATGTTTATTTTGTTGGTATTCTGTGTACAAATAGTAACATTAATGGTATTTTTTGTACTAAAAAAGTAACAATGATATTTTTTGAATATTTGGAAACCGAATAACCTATAATAGCCGGTAAAATGGTATTTTATATATAAAAAAAAACAGATCTTTTTTGTACACTTTTGAAACTACGTTATGTTTTTAAGTCCTTATTCCTAGAAATAAATACTAACAGCAAAGTTTGGGAATTTGTCCCACACCAGTGTATCAAAGGGCACAGCTCCAAATCACAAAATAAAAAAGCCATCCCCATTTAGGCGCGAAATCTCATCTCCGTTTCCCGCGACTTCTTCTACTTCCTCCTCCTCCTCTCACTCTCTGACTCACTCACTGTTTCCTCTCAAAATTTGGCTGCTTGGATTGCTGGAATCGGCGGCACAATGAAGGACCTTGATTTTAGCCGGGACAAAGGTATGCTTTCCATATGCTAAACCTAATCCCTGTAGATCAACTCTGTAAGTTCTAATTGACCGTTCATTTTTGTTATTTTGCAACAGATCTAGCGAAAGATTTTCTTCAAAACTTCGCTGATGCAGAGGGCGAAGCCAAATATATTAGCATCCTTGTAGGTTTTTCCCACATAAATAATTCTTTGACGTTTTATGTACTAATTTACTTTGCGGTTTTTTTCCTACACAGCAAGATGTCGCGAATCGGAAACTGAAAGCAATAGAAATTGACCTCGAAGATCTGTTTGATGTATATTCCATGTTCATGACCTTCATTTAGTACCTTATTACGACATAAGTTCTAAGATTTGATGCTTAAAACCCTTTTCATATTGTTTTTGATCAGTATAAGGATTTGGACGAGGAGTTTGTGGGACGAGTTACCGAGAACACCCGGAGATATGTTGGAATTTTTGCTGATGCTATTGATGAGTTGATCCCTGAGCCAACGGAGGCTATTCAGGAGGACGATTCTGACGTATTTCACACACAACGAGCCGAGGAAGGCAATGAGAATCCTGATGGGACCGACCCAAGACAGAAGATGCCCCCAGAAATTAGGCGTTTTTAGTAAGTATAAACTAGTTGTTTCTTCTTAAATTGGTTCTGGCTTTTAAGAAAATGCTCAACTTTTAATAAATTGATTTCCGACATCTTTACCCAAGTTGCTTCTACATGACAAGCAACTTTGAAATGGGTCCATCATTGCATTTGAGTCATTGTCCAAATCGTTTTGTAGGTGTATTATCTGTTTATCCATAGAAATTATGTATGTTAACATGCTAATTGCTTGAGAAAATTAACGTTTTTGCCAAGTTTCTAATGCTCATTGTTTGTAATTCAGCGAAGTT